ACGGTGCAGTGTGATGTGGGTGAGGGTCATAGAGACCGCTGCCCCTGTGACCCGGTAACAGATGAAAATGGATGGATGGATGGATGGATGGATGGATGGATGGATGTTTATGATCAACTCTTCCTCTGTGTGTTGGTTCTATTCTGGATAATTCTTCACTTCCTTCAGCTAAGATTAACTGTTAGCTGGGTTTGTTAACACTGCTGCTGTGAAATGTTTGACAGCAGCAGTGTTTTCTCTGAGGAGGAGGAAGAGGAGGAGGAAGAGGAGGAAGAGGAGGAGGAGGAGGAGGAGGAGGAGGAGGAGGAGAGCTTCATGTTTATGAGAGTCATTGGGAAGGTGAACAGCAGCAGGAGAGTGGATGAAGACGAACAAACGTCAGTGAAAAATAAATAAGTCACACGGGCTGATCCTGGGTCAGAGTCTGATCCTGGGTCAGAGTCTGATCCTTGATCCTGGGTCAGAGTCAGAGTCTGATCCTGGGTCAGAGTCTGATCCTGGGTCAGAGTCTGATCCTGGGTCAGAGTCTGATCCTGGTTATTTTTCCTCCTGCTCCTGGTTTTGCTGTAGTCTGACTGTAGTCTGACTGTAGTCTGACTGTAGTCTGACTGTAGCTCATCTGTTCAGAACCACCAGCTCCTGATGGTTCTGGTGGTTCTGGTGGTTCTGGTGGTCCTGCTGCTCTAATCACATGGTGTCAATATCACAGGTGTGACGACTGTGATTGGTCAGACAGACTTGACTCAAACACCAGTGAAACCTGATCCTCCAGATGAAAAATGAACCAGGATTTAATTATCTCCACATCATTAGGACAAATGTCACTGCAATTAAAACAGACTGTCATCACTCAGAGGAAACAGCACCGAGAGCAGTCCTTAAAGGGACAGTGCACATTTTCACAGGCTGTTCAGAGGGTTTCCTTGTTACATTTGACAGCGGTCAGGGATCAAAAGTGGCTGATTTTGTTTTTCCTCTGTAAAGCTCATGGACACACATGAAATCATCAGTTACGGGCAGCACAGTTGATTTAAGACTCATTCCACTCAATCCCGGCCGTAGACGGATCGATGAGGTCATCACGGCTTCAGCTGATGAACATCATCCTCTCAACACCTGTTGGATCACAAACACTGCAGATCAACAGGAGGAAATGGTTTTCACTAAAGACCTCATCACTCTGTCATCACTGAGA